CGTCCTCGTCTGGTGAGATCGACAAACGAATCTTTTCTTCATGCACTTTCATACGAAATGAAGGTCCCCCTAACAAATTGTTCCGGTCATCAGATTTTTCAGTGGGCCTAAATTTATGTAAATTTATCCAAAAATAGCAATATAAAACCCCAAAATGGATTTCTTAACAAGCTTCTCAAAGCATGTGAGCAATTGCAAAGCATATGAGCACTTGAAAAGCATGTGTACTACAAATACAAATATTGACAGCTGTGCTGAAATTCGAATTTCCTAATAATAGATAAAATAAATGGAAGCTATTTTTGAAATCGAAGACAAGAGTGCACTTATTAAAATATGGATTTCGTGATGATATGTGCACATTAACAGGAAGGACAATATATTAAAAGTTGTCTGACCCTGGGTATGTTCCCAGTACAAGTGTGAAGGGGTTGAGAACGATAGTGTGGAGTGTGAAGGGTTTTTATGAATGCCGCTCGAAGGAGCACACAACACTACATCAAAATAAGCACGGTAAAAATTGTGACAGTGAAGGCGTGATAGGAGGATATAGAATATGTGAATAGCCCATGGCTGAAGGGGAGATACCACAACTGTTTAGCACACGTTTGGTCAAATGTTGGGCATCACTTGTCAGTCTCTACCAGCCCAATGTTCTGGATCCTTTCAGAAAATTCATATGAATTCTCCAGTGTTCAAGAGTCTGTCATTTACTGTCTTGAGCTTCAAGCAAATGAATATCGCTAGATTGTGTGTTGCTCCATGCTTGTTATTGACTCTTAATCTTAGCGGATTTCCTTGCTTGCGCATCTTCGGTAATCCGTAGGCTGTCAGCGGTCTAGCGTCATTTTTTGATTAAAGATTTCATCATCCATTAATCAATTTCCTCATCATTATGCATTTCCATCACCATATTATTCAGTGTCTCGTTGATCTTCATGGTTGAATCCTTCCTTATTGTTTGATAATGTTCCGATCGCCTAGAATACTCTCCATTTTCTCTGTGTACTATTTCATGTCCATTACAACCGTCGCTCTTTCCTTATCCGCCTCCGGAACAATTTGATCATTCTATGATCATTTTTTCCGTATACCAGTCAATCTGCTCCTGTGTATCGGTCCTTAATGTTTCAGGATCCGTGGCATAAGTTCCATTTCCATCTCCGGCTTTGTCTCTTCTGGATATTCATTCGACATGTTGACAACTTTCACCAAAATAACACTACAAACGATTCCTCAACTACCTAGGGAAAAATGTAACTCCTTCTTTAACAGAGCCATGGTTTCAGAATCAAGAGGGATTAAGGATAGGTCAACCACTCTAGCCGTATATTTGTGTGTAGCAGTTGATGCCTTCAATACACAACCATCAAAATTTGCCCGGGTAGGCTTCGTCTTGCGTTGTCTTATTATACCATATCTAAGCAATTTCTTGTCATGCCGCTTATTTATCAGATCCCGGACCCTATGTAATTTATGGTCCGTCATGCTCTAGAGTTTTTGCAAATCAACCGAATTGAGAATCCTGCATAGATCCTTCCTTAATCTAGACTTGATATCTAGGAATTTAAATAGCTTAAAAATTTATTTGTCGTAACTTTCCTCTAGTTTCTTGTCTGAGGTGTGATAAAGTATTTCATTAATATGTCAGAATGACAATTCCTCACTAGACTGTAGAATCAGGAAGCGATAGCAGAATGTTTGCAACAATGCAAAAAGGCCTAATGGCAGGATTGACTTACAAATGTCTTCTTTGTCTAGCTGTAATCGATACATTGCTTACTTACTTACATAGTTTAATTTAAGGTATGAAGACTAAGATCGTGTGGCTTATTGTATGGTCGCAGTCTCCATTCGTTGTATAAAAGTTGTTTCACCTTGTTTTAGCAACTTGGTCATGTTGGTAGATAGACTTGGAGAAACACACCTAGTCCGGAGTCCTTTGTATGCATGATAATATCCAAAGTCGCATCGTGGACGTGGTATATTCCCAGGCGATTCGACGGCATCATCAATGAGTCTTGCCATTCTTACCACCAGACTACAAGTTGTCAGATACAAGTGAAGCCGAGCATATGACCAATTGTCTTATAAACAATTGTTGTATCACTCCTTACGCCAGGGGCTAATCACCAAACATATATCCTCATATCACAATTTTACTTACATATTTAAATGTAGTATCGTCTGCCCTTTTGAGCGGCTTTCATGAGTACTTTCCACATTCCACCCTAGCTTTCTCACCCCCTCATTCCCTCAGCCTTGTGCTAAAAATGTTGACCAGTCTGCCATATCGTTACGCAGTCCTCCTTCTCTAGCTCTTATCAGAGTCTCCCTCTTGCCCTGTAGGATTCGTCTGCTATCTCCCTCGTTCAAGTATCTCACTTCACTCCCGCCACCCATCTGTGCTACTCTTGGCGTTATTTCCCATACTCTGCCTCTGGAAGAACGTGAGGCTAAAGCCACTGAATAATGATCATGATCAAGACTTTGCTTCATGAACTACGTGTATGGTAAACAGGTTTACCATCAACCAACTAGCTCTAGTCTCCAAATCGTCTTGAAGCTAATCGAGCAAGCAGTACCACAAAATTTGTGGGTTGGCACACAAGAGACTAGGGCATAGGAAGCCATAGACTTGGTATAAGGGATATAAAAAGGATAGATGCATTGAAGACTAGAGCTAGTGGGCTGACAGTAGGCCTGTTCTACTATAGACGGGGTCTATGAGGTAAGAGCTTGATCATTAGAATTATTCGGGGATTTGGTCTCAAGTTAGTCTCCCAGAAGCAGAGTTTAGGAAAAGCTGAAGAGCGATGAGAGGGGCGATAAAGCCATCGCGAAGAGCGGAGAGTTCTCATGAGAGACGCTCAAAAGAGCACACCATATCAAATGTATTCAAGCAAGCAAAAAATTGGGAGTGACGGCGTGATACGAGGATGTAGGATCGGTGATTAGCCCAGGGAGGAAGGAAAGATACCACGATTGTTCAGCAGACAATAAGTCAAAGGATCGGCTAAACTTGTCTCTGACAAGTTGTAATGTGGTGCTAAGAATGGCAAGACTCACTGAAGATGCCGGCAAAACGTCTGGGAATGTATCACGTCCACGATCCGACTGGAAATTAGCATGCATACAAAGGACTCAGGAATAGGTGCGTCACTCTAAGTCTTCCTACCAATTTAACCAAGTTGCGAAAACAAGCTCAAACAACTTATATACAACGAAAGGAAACAGCGACTACACAAAAGGCCACACCATCTTAATCTCCATACCTTCAATAAAATTTTAAAAAATTATTAGAATTTAATGATCTCACTTGTACAGAGATCTGCTTCATCTCACACGTAATTTGCAGTCTATGCAGACTAGAGAAGCTAGGATCAATTGTTGATGACTTGACGAATGCATAAAGGTCACGAAAAGCATCGATCTGGGCAATTCGTGTTCGGTAGTAGTTAAAGGATAGTAACTTTGGTTGGATAAGGGTAAGGTTGGGGGGAAGACGGCTCTCTGGAGGTGCTAAAGCTTCAAACTCAAGTGCAGCGGACGTCTCAAGGGCAAAGGCAGAAGACGAACGTGGAGTTCTTAAGCCATGCCATATGAGATGGTATCGATGAGAATTGCGTGCACGATCGGCGGGTGAGAGTTTCTCAAATAAGGGCCTTAGTTTTGAGGACAGAAGGGCGTCATCAATGAATGGAATTAGCTGAAACAATAATAGAAAGGATCGCAGGTGTAAAATCCGGACATGAATTCAAGCTAGAATGAGGTTTCTTTAGAAAAATTACAAGCTTAAATGTGATCAAGGTAGCAAAAACAATAAAGCCAAAGAATGAAGTAGAAACAAATGAAGCTGAAAATCAAAAAGGAAGACAGGTCCTTAGCCTATGTTGTGGACAATATTGCAGAAAGTAGAATCGTCAAAATAGAGTTAATATATCAAAAATAAAGCTACAAAAGAATTCACAATAAAGCTGATGGTATATTTAAATATAAACTAAATATAGTGTTATTTCGACCTTGCTTTCTCAAATTAGTCGGGGGTTCAAGAAAACCTTGTAGAACGTAACTAGTCTTGTGTCCTCTAAATAGACTTATTCAAGGCCTTATCATCAAATAAGTTACAAGTTTATGCGAAAAATAAAATATAAGAATAAGACAAAAGAGGATCAATGGCAATAAATATAATCAGCCGATATTAACAGTAAATGACAAAAATCGTCTTATATACGAAGAAAAGTTGGGTTTCGAGGAATCTCTTGTTTCATAATTGTTGGGCTTACTTCCATTTTGAGTAGAAGTGTTGGGTAAAGAGATTCGAAGGTCGGTTCCACAAGAAGACGACGGCGAATTCCTCTTGACCAGCTGTCGGTTGGCTTT